CTGTACTATTTACTAATATTTTTACTAATTTTACTAATTAATATTATTTTTTTATTTGCTCTGCTGAAACGGGAGTACATCTTTTTACACCCGAGCGTCTTATATGCCGTCAAATCCGGTACTTTAGTGAGAGGAGTTTGCCTAGGAGATATCTTGAGAAATATTCTGCACTTTTTGTTCTTGATTCCCTCAATTCCAGCTTGTTCAAAAATCTGAGCATTGATCAAAAGGGATTGTTTCGCTATAACTCGCTTTAATTTACGTTCTTAAAGTCATTTCCTTTGCTTCTAGTTCTCAACTTAGTTATAATTTCTAAAACCTTTTTCATTGTTCGATAATCTCCGCGAAGCTCCTTTGATATCTTCAATGTGGACATTCTCTCACTCAATAACTTTGTTATCAACTGTTTTTCAGCATTTGTTACATCATTTCCATTTTAATATATATTATGGAAAAAAGCGAAAATTAATTTTTATTAGATTTCACAGACTTTAAACTAATATTAGCTTAATCTGCAATAAATTCAATAACTTTAATAAAACATGTTAAAACTACCTCCATATTTGACTCAAGCTTTGTTTTGACGTTTAAATTAATTCTTTAAAATTCGACAAAAATTTTTCAAAGTAAATTCGAATTATTGAAGTTTATGTAATTTGTATAACTTCAGACGGACTGTAGACTTAAGATGAGATATATTTTTAACTAGTTTCTCGACGCTGATCACCGATTGAAAAGGCCAAGTATCACTTATCATCGAAGAACAAATAAACGGGATGGATTTCAGAAGGAAGGAAGTTCAGCGTCTCACTAACACAGGGAAAAGCAGAAACCCAAAATAACATTCTGATCATATAAATTGATGAAGCGTAAAAACTTAAAATGATGACTGAAACGCAAAACAGGATGCAAAGATTTATTTAGATTCCTGCATAATATCAGCAAACATCAGCCTATATAAACTGACGTGCGTTTGTAATTGGCTAATAACCTATTTGAGGTAAAAAAAGAAAAAAAAAATGAGAAAAAGAAGCTCTGCTGAAGAGACTATCAGTGGGAGGAAAAGTGAGTAGAGTTGCTTATCTCAGCAATTCTGAATGAAACGTACAAGCCCTGGAAAATGTCCGAAACGAAAAAAGAAATATAAACTAGCAATAAGACATGAATTAAGAAAAATATCATTTAAGAAGACAAATCGAGTTAATGAGAAAACATCACGTTCTATAACATAAGACATGTGTACTTTTAATTTCTATGATATGAAGGTGGGAAAAAGAATGTCTGCTAATATACAAGAAACTTCGAGGCTGAAACTTGTGCCGGTGTTTTTTTAGTAGTAATCTAATTTTACTATAACATAGAACATGCCTGAGAGAAATGTGCCTACTTCTAACCGCCTGGTGTCAGTGGCTGTGTGTTTTCATAAAAAAAAAAATTAATGCTCTATGCCAGAGATTTAATGGAACATACACACCAGTTCCATGGAGGAAATTATTGCTAGCTTTACGTTTAATCTATAAAATTTATTTTCTCACAGTTAAATATTCAAAAGAAATATTTTATATTTTAATGAAATTTTGTCTTAATATTTGATTAGAATTTGGTTAATTGATTTATAGATATTTATATATTTGAGTACGGTACTATGGGATGAGGGTTTAATCTACCCAAACTTTTACTGGAACTGAGAACTAAGCAGTCTGCAAATTTTGTCGAGTTGGTCTCAAACTGTGATGACGCTATTGAACATTGTATCATTAGTTTAAAATTATTACTGCCATTAATTTTCAAAATACATTTTTTTTAAATATTTATTTTTCGGTTTTATCTCGAAATATTGACTTCTTAAACCTACAAATTTTACATATGTCTTATTAGTTATTGACATATCGGGATTACATACACATATATAGAGAAAAAATTTATAGATCTCATTCCATAAAAAAAGGCACAAGCAATTTCCCCAAAAATCCGTCTTTAAAATAAAAAAATATTTTAAAAGTAGAACAATATATCTATAAAAAAAATGTTTATTTTATGAAAGGGTCAGATAAAGAAATATAGAATTAGGAATCTCAAAAACTTAACATATGACTTAGCCTCCGCCCGCAATTGTAACATCTGATTTAGAGACCAACCTCCGCCCTCACACACATTTTGTAGTGGGGATACGATGGCAAGAAATAAGTAACACTAAGCTCTGTGGGCGTCGGGTAACTGAAACAAAATTTGGAAAGTATTTTTACTTGATCCCGAACGACAACTGATGCTTATTGATTTGGACAAGAGGCAGGAGGAGATGGATTGTTTTTCTTATCGTAAAACATTTATAACCAAAATGACTTTATGAGGAAGGGTCAATAAGCCAGCAGACTGACGGCAGTTGAATTTTGGTCTGGTATTCACACTGTATAATATTCGAGCTATGTTCTTTATATTTATCACTATTAAGTGCATTAACAAGGAAGGAGATTTAGCAAAGTTATTCAACCGCTGATCGAAGGAGAAATCCTTCCCAAATCTATGGAAAGCATCAAGCGTATTTCCAGTTTTCAAGAACGCAGGCGTGTGATCTTCTTGCTCTCAGTGCAAATCCATCAGTCTCCTTAGTATAATCAGCAAGCTTTTTGAGGTTATAATCAATAAGAAGGTCGTTGAACACCTAGAAAAGAACAAACTCTCCAGCGACGAGCAGTATGGGTTTCGGTCGGGCCCCGATCCACTGTCGACGTCGTCCTAACAACCACCACTCACAGAATCAATGTCACTCGTACCTCGAGGACCATAGCATTAGATGTATCAAAGGCTTTCGACAAGGTATGGCACAGAGGCTTACTATACAAGCTCTCCATTAGGAAGGGTCTTCTCGGTCATAAAATCCTTCCTAGCAGCTAGATCCCTGAAGGTAGTTATCAATGGTCAGCCGTCCGGAGCCCTAAAGGTCAACGCAATCGTCCCTCACGGGCCACTGCTTGAACCAACCCTCTTTTTGATCGACATAAGTGATCTGCCTAAGAATAGACTCAGATCATTTGTAAGCGTCTATGCTGATGATACGACTATATACGGGCGCACCTCTAAAAATTTCGATGGTCAGAGATTGGCGACTGAAATCTCTTCCGATCTTGCACAATGAGTTATATGGTTGGTTACATTCAATACCTCGAAAACCAAACTAGTTACATTCCATCACCACCGATCTAACATCGAACGACCACCAGTCTTGATGAACGAAGGTTCTCTCGGGGCATCACCGTGCATCGTGACTGTTGAGACTCAAACTCATACTCCATCTCAAGTGGAACTCGTACATACGATCCATTGCTAAGGATGCAGGTAAAATGATCGGCTCCTTGTACCGCTCCAGTAAGTACCTGATTCCTCCTGATAACCTCTACATTTACAAGAGTCAGATCCGGCCGAAAATGAAGTACTGTTGTCATATTTGGGCGGCAGCTGCCCAGACTTCACTCTCCAGCCTTGATAGATTTCAAAAGCGTCTCCAAGCCCAAGAACTATTCTCTACCCTTCAACCTCACTACATTCCTTGGTCACGCCGAGGCAAACCATCACAGTAAGAACACGCCATGCCACTGACATAGTAGCAAACCACACACATTTCCTCCATATCCCATCGGTAAGAAGTAGCTTCTACCCGACCATCTTCTTCCCGCGAACCACTTCCCTGTGTAGCCGACTCCCAAAAGGCTGTTTACCCGATCACTATAATCTTAACCTGTTCAACGCTAGGGTTACCCGTTATCTTCCACTCCTATACGCACAAATGGCCTCCAAATGTAACCCTCTACCTCGTGTGGCTCCGGGGCTTTTTAAATGATGAACCTCGCTGTAAAAAATGTTAAAAATAAATATTTTCTATACAAAATAAATACTTATTTCATAACTAGGCTACAGACATATTGATTTGCCTATATATGTTTATTAAATACAAATGAGATACCTTCTTTAATCGTTTTTTTAAAGGAATTTAATAACATTTTTTAAATATTCGATGTAAAAGCAGGGGTACTGCTGATTTTACAAGTACGATGTTAGTTGATAGCAAGAAACAGCGGTTTATATTTATATCTTTGTTCCGATTCTTGTCTACATACTAAAGTTTTCAAATCATCTATAAATGTAATACTACGTAACTAACTACTAAGATACAGAGTTTTGCCTTAAATGTATTCGATAAATCAATAAAATGTTTCTTGATGGAGAGGAATATTGTTTCATTTTTTTTTTTTTTTTTTTGAGCTCTTTGCGATTCAAATAGATTGGCCGGGACGATTACTCCAACATCCATTTTTATTAATTCATTTAAATGAATCCTTTTGCTTTAAATTGCTCGCAGTCTAAATTAAGAGATGGCAAAATTTTTTTCTGAATATTTAACAAATGGACTGATTGGAATAAAGATGTACCAGATGGATTCTTCTCCAAATAATAATCCCGGTTCGTTTATTGCAAACTCAATAGATCGATATTTAACCATGTAAAGGTTGCGTAACGGTTATAGGCGCGAAAAATGAATTCGGCGAACCAAGTTCGAATTTTTTCTTAGTCTTCACACAAATACCAATGAGAAAAGCACGAATCAATTTCTCCCTCCAGTTATGGATTAAATATCAGTGTAGACATTGATTTCTTGCTTTGCTTGGTAGCCAGTATAAGAATAAGGAAAACTCTGAATTTCAAACAGTATAAACAGCATAAAACCTAAAAGGACATGGTAATTCACAGACATTAAAAAGGAATATTTGGTGAGCCATGATCGCTTACGTCCTGAATGGACATGGCATTAAAGAAAGTATATTTTAAAGTTTTCCACCATGGTTTACTATTGAAATGGTGGCTTACTAGTAAGTATTCAATCCACAAGCAGTATTTATATCATTTACGAACATTGTTAGTTGTAAAGTCCTCGAAGCATAAAAAGAAAATCGGCTTCATTCAAGGCAGTTGTTTATTATATTTAGAACTGCTTATGGCCGCATCACTTTCAAACAACGGTTCTCGTCCGATCATCGGAGTTAAGAGACTTCAAGCCTGGTTAGTTCCTAGATGGGCGACCGCTTGGGAATACCAGGTGCAGTAAGCTTGGATGTGCAGGTGGTATAATGGATAAAGGCTCGAGATGAGAAGTCGGAGAGCCGAGTTCGAATTCCAGTCGGATTCATTACATTCACTTAGGCGTAAATACTTTTAAGAAAGTCATATATCCATCTCTTCTCCCCCCATCTATGGGTAAAATATTAAGACTTGTATCGGAAAATTATTATTATCTCCAAAAATGGTTAATACAATATTCACTCACAGAAACATTGATTCTTATGACCTGAAAATATGTTTTGGCTTTAAATAACCTACAAATGGTTGAAAAGTCTTAAAAAAACGAATCGATCGATATTAAGAATTCAACTATTTTATTTCTCGATTTTATTTTCTGATCGATTTTAAATAAAAAATAATTGACGCTTTGATCGCATTCTTGGTTAATTATAAATTTAGAATAGTTTTAAATAATTTTATATGACACCTGAGCCATTATTTTGGAGCAGGTTTTTTTCCTAATAAAAAACCGAAAGAAATGATTGAGACGAGAACAATTCTGAAATTTGGTTCCGTTTTTTTTGTTTTTTTTTTATTTAGAATGAATCATGAAAATTAATGATGGAATGTAAGGCACGTTCGAAGACAGAACGCGTTTTTCCCTTTTACCTGGCAACTGGCGTGGTAGTAGCAGCGGGAAAATATTTCTATTCTTCAAATGATAAATCTCAATAATTGTGTAATCAGGTTTTCTTCTTCTTCTTCTTCTTCTTCTTCTTCTTCTTCTTCTTCTTCTTCTATGTGCTATGTGCGTGATTATGGCTCTCCACAGCCTCCTATTACTTGTAGCCCTCAACAGCGTTTATCCCTTTAACAAGCCTCCCACACCCTGTTCCGTTATTCATTCACAAACAAGCTTGTCAGGTAGATGGCTGCCTTCCTTCGCTTGTCTCTTTTATCTTCGATATATCCTGTAAGTGTTAAATTTTCCGAGCCTTCCTTCCTCATTAGCTACAAGAAATTTCAGTTGTCTCTTTCTGATTCTGAGTGTGTTTCATTTTTGTTTTCATTTTCCTTAAGACTTATTCGTTGCTTATGCACTCCATTGTATACTCAGCATCCTTCTGTAGAACGACATTTCTCTTAATCTAGGGCTTACGGTCACACCACGTTGAAATACCGGTTCCCGTACAATCACCGAAGTTAAGCAACGTTGAGCCTGGTCAGTACCTAGATGGGTGACTGTTGAGGAATACCAAGTGCTGTAAACTTGGATGTGCGAGTGGTGTAATGGATAATAGTTAGGAATTTTCAATCCGAGAGCCGAGTTCCAATTCCTTTTGAGTTCATTATATTAACTTACGCGCAAATGCCTTTGGGAAAGGTATGAAGCCACTTCTTCACCCCCTAGCCATGGATTAATTAGTAAAACTTGTATCATTATACCATTATTATTTCCATAAAAAATTTAAATAAGTAAAATCACAGTTGGCTACAGTGGGTAAATGTTGTTTACGTCAGTCAATGTATGAGAAAATGATTAAATTATTAGTACGAATACAGCATAACTTTTAAATTCGTTCCACATATCGTCTTATTATAAAATGGAAGAAATTAAATGCACATCAAAGAAATTTCTGTTCACAATATAAGTTTTAGTAATAGATGAAGTCGTTTTTCAGAAAATGTTAAGTTTAAAATCGAACGGCGATTTTAACTTGTCAAAAGAAAAAAACAGAAAAACAATGCAACGAAAGCTATTAAAGTTAAAGCTTGTAGGGATCATCTACCGGTTCACACTCCTCCTCGATCTTTTGAACAGGAGTAGCGGTTTATTTCCCTGTTTAGGATTTGGTTTCCAGTTTTTTTCAGTATCTTCTCATTCTCTTTCACTCCGAGTAACCTCTTGCGTCTCAGTGGCATTATCGCCTTTCTTAGGGGTGAAATGATTAATAACATTTTTGCTCTTAATTCCTTTTTGTAATGAGAAGTGGAATTAATTTTTACCGAAAAATATTTGCGTTTTACAACACCAACTTCATAGTCATGAATTTTTCAAAAAAGAACATTTCCCTTTAAGAGCTAAAAAAATTCAGCTTCAAATAGGAAAAAAAAAAAACACTTCTCTAGTGGTATTTGGATAATTTAATTCAATTTAATTTTCTTTTCAGTTCATTCTGATGAGTGGTTAGTGTAACGGAAATCGGTGCTTAAAATGGTATCGATATGCGGAGTTCAAGTTCCGTCCTAGTCTGTAACAGTCACTTTGCACTAATACCTTTGGAAAAGGCATGGATCCACTTTTTTTTCTCTTTCCAGATCTGCTGTAAATAGCAGATTAGACTGAGCTCTTTAGTCTAGGATAGCATTCAATGTAAGAAAAGTTGAAGTTTGAATTTGAAACTGCAGGTAAAAAACTAAAGGAAGTCACTCCATTATTTTTCCCAAAAAAGTCATGACAATTGACAAATAATAAAGAAAATGAATCTGTGATGAGCCATACATCGTGAAGCGATGTGGCATTAAAAGCACAGAATTCATTCAGGTATGAGCAATTACTTTCATTTCAATTATTATTAACTTAGTATATGTAATAAGATTGACCATGTTGGTGTATAAAACCAATCCTAGTATTTGTCAACTCTGTCCACGCTTCAAGTGCTTATTACAAACTGATACAGAGTTCGACCTAAGTGCCTGTATGTTTACGAAAATAACTGCTCTCAAATCAGGACTACGCCTAATCTTAAGTGAACACGTAAACACGTAAAAGACAAGTAAAGAGACATCAGCCAAAAAAAAAAAAGGACGGTGTGTCAAAAGGATTGTTATTCTCTTGACACCGCTATTACTATGTGCACTTTTGAGCTCTCGGCAATTAACGCGATAAAATAAGAGAGTTTCAATCCGATGCAAATTCTAGTGTCTTCATGCAAAAATAAAATTCTCCAAATCTTATTTTTGCATGAAGACAGGAAAAAGAGAATTAAACAGAAGAGTGATATGATGTTAGTTTTGTATAAAATGTAAGTTAATCAAATAAAATGTGCGAGAAAATGACTTAAAAGATAACTGAAAGCCTGTTTTTTAGAAAAAGAGAAAAATTATATACGTAATTTAATTGTCAGTATACAACAAAAAATTAATAAAAGCAAATGACATTATATTTACAGACTTTGTTTATTACAAAACTTAAGGTATATACAGACAAACCTCTCATCAACGGACTAAGAGGGGATGGGCGGTCCGTTAAAGCAGATTGTAGATGAGAAGGGATTATTTTTTAGTTATAAAACCGTTACAGTAACTACCAGTAGTTAAGATCATAATGTAAATACTATAATCTTGTAAATATTGCATAAATAAATATATACTTAATAGATATATTAATCAAAATAACAAAAATAATAGATTTTACACAGCTACTTTCTCACGCACGCGCTAATGTATCGTACTTTAGATACTGTACTCCCGTCTTTCTATAGAATTGAAAGGGCCACCACTGCCGCCAAGCGGTCACTTTGAGAACCAATACGACTCGTTCCACTAAGCCCGCAAATTTTGAAATACGTTGCTGACGATTTGAGAGTTTTTTTTTCTGCATAACTTTTTTATTTTGCCTGCAGATTTTGTCCGTTGCATCCAAAGTCCGTTGATGGAGGGAGAAGATATGTCGTTTATCTGTACTTGAAACTTAACAAACAGAAGTATTAGCCAAAATTACCTTTTTTTTTTCAAGTTAAAACATACAAATATGATATATGTTATTCTGCTTTCACAATATCTAGATTTCGTGCATATACATGTTTGTGCGAACCTAATTACGACAGGCGGTGATATGTGTGTTTTATGCTGTAGTTTTGTTGAAGTTATATTTTGGAATCCAGTTTGATTTCTTTAAGAAATTGTAGGATATTATATGGATTAATGTCATGAAAGAGTTCTTTCATGTTCGTTGGTTGGTTGATTTTGTTTAGCAGCATATCAACCTCTATGGGTTATGGAATGCCGAAATCTGCATATTTTGAACGCAATTGCATGCCTTCAATTAAAAATATAAATTATACTGTTGTACTGCTGGTCATTTTACTATAAATATCTATTGTTGTTTTTTTTATATATAAATATGTCATTTTTTAAATAAATATCTCTTTTTTATATACAGTGTAACCCGGATATAAGAGAGATTTTCTCTGGTCCCAAAGTGTTCCCATACTTACCTAAACAAAATAGACCAAACCCGGATATAAGAGAAACCCGGATATAAGAGAATTCTTCTCCGGTCCCGACAACTCTCTTATATCCGGGTTACACTGTAAAACTGTATTTTTAAAGTTTCATAGTGTTTCTCTTTTGTCTCCGGGTTAACTGGAACCCTGACAGATGCTACCACCCCGGATCAGTGTGGACTTGTGAACAACAGCAATTAAGACGTGGTTACAATCTCCTCAAAAGTTCTGATCAGAGGCCTTACTGACGGATGTACTTTATCGTCATACCCAGGACAGTAATAATGAGTATTATCGATCCAATAATGATTTCAAAGTAAATGGACTGATAAATTTTAATCTCTTTTATAACGGTCTATATTTCACAAAAAACAAAACAAAAAAAACCTGAACTTTCTGAGACAATTGTAAAGTTTCATTGAAAACAACTTTATTTATCAAGCATTTGGATTTTAAAGTAAAGATCTATTACTCTTCATTTCTTTCACATTCTTGAAAACATTTTTCATATTAATCTCTTGCATTTAAATCATTCGATATTTAATTGAGTTAAATATAGGACAAGTCAATAAACAATGCAAGAATATCTCCACGGTAGTCATTTAAAAGAAGACCTGTCTTTGGATTAAGGAAAATTGGAACGAAAAGGACAGGTATTTAGAATCAGAAAGAGACAATTATCTTTTCTGAAACACATAATGAAGAAATAGGGCTTGGGAAATTTTGCATTCGGCAGAACATATTGAGCGAACAAGGACGTGGCTCTACAGAAGGATGTTGAGAATACCATAAATGGAATGTGAGAACACAAAAGGAAGTTTTAAGATATGTGAGAACAAATAGACACATGTACTTAGAATCAGAAAGAGACAGTCGGAATTTCTAGGACGCATAATGAGGAAATGGGACTTGCAGAATTTTGAATTCAGTAGGAATAATGAAATCACGAGGGACAGATAAAAAAACGGCGAGAAACCTACTTTATGAGATTTTGTTAAATAAATGTGAGAACAGATACTGGGGGATTGTCAGGGGACAAATAATGCTTAGAGCTACAAAGAATAGGATGTTGTGGAGAGTCATGACCACCGCTATCTTCAAAATATTTTCTTCTATTGTTTCCGACCGCTACACCCATCATGTAATTCTTTCTAGCCATTGGGCGTCAACACTTAACCTAAAGAAACCCTGTTTTAAAGTTCAAGTCGTCTTGGTCCAGTAATATTCCAGTTATGTTAAGAAGGTCGGCATAAAACAACTGGTGTTGTATATTTTGAATATCTCCTTTTAGCGAGTAGATTATTTGACTTTAAGGGTTAACCTTTGTTGCCGGCAGGTCTTGCCAACTTTTTAAAGGGAAAACGTCAACAAACCACTTAGTGTCTAACAGACTTTAATATAATGACTTGGTGATGTTTAAATTTCTAATTGGTATGTGTGTGCGTGTGCGTGTGCGTGTGTGTGTGCGCGCGTGTGTGTATGTGTCCATTACTTCCTGAAAGGTGAAACCGCATTTAGCCTCCGGACACTGGTGGTTTAATTACGCAACGCTTCCTGTGAAACGTGATTAGGTTGGTCGGTTCGTATCCGTTGCTCGAAACCAAAACGGAACAGAAGAAGGTCAACGCAGTGAATTGGTCAAGTTGATGGTCAAAAAGACGGCAAAAGAAAGCAAAAGAAAACCGCCAGCCAAACAACTGTACGAACATATCTGTTCCTATCATATAACAATATCAAATAACACTGGTAGTATTACCTTCTGCTGGCCTTTCAACGATTTGCTATAATACGATGTCTCATCCCCGAAATGTTCAGGCATATGCCAGTTAATTATCAGTAAATAACCCATATTTCTATTTTCTAAGAAAATATCTTGATGATTTTGTGGGAGGAAATATAATACATTAAATGATTATATCATAATTGTATGAAATATAAAACTCAGTTATGTTCGTTTTTCAGGAATTTATTGTTGAAATGCTGTCGGCTTCACATAAGGGGTACAAATATATAAAAACTAGTCGGTCTGTTTGTCGTTG